CCCCCGCCCAGGTGACCCGGCAGATCCAGGAGCACGAGCAGGACTCGGCGCTGCGGGAGCAGATGAGCGGCTACAAGCGCATGCGGCGCCAGCACCAGAAGCAGCTCATGGCGCTGGAGAACAAGCTGAAGGCGGAGCTGGACGAGCACCAGCTGCGCCTCGACAAGGAGCTGGAGGCCCATCGCAGCAGCTTCAGCGCCGAGGCCGAGAAGCTGGCCAAGAAGCACCAGGCCATCTTCGAGAAGGAGGTGGGGCTGGCCGGGCCGGGGCAGGGGGCAGGGGGGCGCTGCGCTTCGGGGGGGCTGCGCTGGGGCGGGGGCTGGCGGGGAGCCGCTCACCCCCGCTCCCTGCCCCGCAGGCCAAGGCGGCGCTGGCCGAGGAGAAGAAGTTCCAGCAGCACATCCTGGGCCAGCAGAAGAAGGAGCTCAGCGGCCTGCTGGAATCCCAGAAACGCCAGTACAAGCTGCGCAAGGAACAGCTCAAGGAGGTGACGAGAGAGGGGCCCCGGGGGGCGGGTTGGCTGGGAACAGAACCCAGGTGTCCGGGCTCCCGGCCCCCCCGCTGGACCGCCGGAGCCCTGGCTCTAAGCACTCCCCTCCCGCGCAGGAGCTGCAGGAGAACCAGAGCACCCCGAAGCGGGAGAAGCAGGAGTGGCTGCTGCGGCAGAAGGAGAACATGCAGCACTACCAGGCCGAGGAGGAGGCCAACCTGCTGCGGCGGCAGCGCCAGTACCTGGAGCTCCAGTGCCGCCAGTACAAGCGCAAGATGCTGCTGGCCCGCCACAACCTGGACCAGGACCTGCTGCGCGAGGTGGGGGGCTCGAGGGGAGGAGCCTGTGAGGGGGACGGGGCAGGGCTTAGGGGGAGGAGCCTGTGAGCGAAAGAGGGCAGGGCTGGGCACTGCATAGGGGGAGGAGCCCATGGGGGCAGGGTGGGGCTCTGCTCAGGGGGAGGGGCTTGTGACAGCCCAGAACTCTAGTGTGCCTGGGGTAGGCAGAGGCCTCGCGCGGGGGCCTGTCTGGCCGCGGGGCTTGGGGAGGGGCGGCTGGGGCGGGGGCTGCTGGGCCGGCTGTGACACTGACACTGACACTGGCCCTGGCCCCGCAGGACCTGAACAAGAAGCAGACGCAGAAGGACCTGGAATGCGCCATGCTGCTGCGGCAGCACGAGTCGACGCAGGAGCTGGAGTTCCGGCACCTGCACACCGTGCAGCGCACCCGCACCGAGCTCACCCGCCTGCAGCACCAGACCGAGCTCAGCAACCAGCTGGAGTACAACAAGCGCCGCGAGCAGGAGCTGCGCCAGAAGCACGCCATGGAGGTCCGCCAGCAGCCCAAGAGCCTCAAAGTAGGTGCCGCCCGGGTGCCCCGCCCGCGCAGCCTGGGGGGCCCGCAGCCGGACGGACAGGAGGCCGGGCTTCTAGAGCCGGACGGACAGGAGGCCTGGGCTCTAGAGCCGGCCCTGGGGGGCCTCGAGCCGGACGGGCAGGATAGCTGGGGTTTAGAGCCAGACGGCGAGGAGGCAGGAGTTCTAGAGCCAGACGGTGCGGAGGCCATGGCTCTAGACCAGGAGAACCTGGGGGTTCTAGAGCCAGATGAAGATGATGTGGTTCTAGAGCGGGAGAGCCTGGGGGCTCTGGAGCCAGACGGCAAGGAGGCTGAGGTTCTAGAGCGGGAGAGCCTGGGGCTTCTCGAGCCAGGCCTCATGGCCCTGGGGGTTCTCAAGCCGGATGGCCAGGAGGCTGATGTTCTAGACCTGGAAGCTCTGGAACCGGACGGGCAGGAGGCATCCCTAGATGCTGTCCTGGGGGTGCTAGAGCCATCCGCCCCCTGCCATCTCCCCGGTGTGCTGCCCCTGATCCCAGAGGAGGGGGAGGGGCTGCGGGGCCCAGCCGACGGCTGCCCTGCCCCCGAGGACCCCTATGCGGAGCCGCGGCGTGGCCGGGAGGAGGGGGCCAGGCCGGCGCCAACCCCCCTGGCCCCCCTGCTGCCCCACGCCGTGTGCGCGGGGCTGGCACTGCTGGTGGCCGCCTACCCCAGCGGGCCGGCGCTGCTGCTGCTGCTGGCGGCGCTGTGGGCCCAGGGCTCGGGCGGCGGGGCCCAGGCGGTGCTGCTGGCTCTGGAGGGGGCGCTGGTGGGGCTGGGCGTCTCCTACGCCCTGCTCCACTCGCTCTTCCTGCTCTCGGGTGCCTCCTTCCTGGCCCTGGCCAAGGGCGCGGGGGCGCTGGGCGTGCTGGGTCTGAGCGCCAGCCGGGGCCGGCTCTACGTGCCCGTTATCCTGCTGGCCTCCCACCTGCTGGCCTCGCCCTGGCTCTTCCTCCCGCTCTACCTGCTGATGGCGCTGGCCCGGGGCGCCCTGCGGGGGCTGCCCTGCCGCGCCCGGCGCCTCTGGCTGCGCGTCCTGCTGGGCCTGCCCCTGCCCGCCTTCCGCGCCCTGCAGGGCCTGGGGCTGGTCACCGAGGGCGGCCTCTTCCGCCTCTTCCCCAAGACCAACAAGGGCAACTTCCGCAGCCGGCTGCCCGTGCCCGCCCCCCGCCCCGCCCGCCTGCCCGCCCCGCCCGCCTGGCCCCGCCGCGCCCTGGCCCTGCTGGCCCGCCCCGTGCGTGCCCTCAACCGCCGCCTGCTGCAGCTGGCGCGGGAGGTGAGCGCCCGACTGCCCCCAGCCGCCCTGCACCACCTCAAGGGCCTGCGGGTGCTGCGGGAGGAGCGGCACAGCCGCATCCCCCGGCTGGCGGGCAGGGGGCGCCGCAGGGCTGGCCCCATGGCCCGGGGGAGCCGGGCTGCCTCCGGGGGGGCACGCCGCAGCGCCCCTGGGGACCCCCGCGCAGCCCGGCGGCCCTGGAGGTGAGGGCACCAGTCCCTCCACACCTGTTCTGGGCTTGGGAACCAGCCATGTCCCCGTGCCGCCCAGTGATTGGCTGGGGTGAGCCACAGACCTGCGACAGTGTGAACAGGCCGTGCCCCTCTTTCTGGTTGGGTGTGGGGGCCGTGAGGGGGGGGTCTCCATCTGAATGCGGGGGTGGGGCAGCTCGGGCCTCTCCAAAACCCACAGCAGGAGGTCCTGTGCTACTGGGCTTCTCCGGGCATCCCATGCCAGAGCACCCCTATGGCCCAGCAGGGGGAGATGTGACCCCGAAGGCAGGTGACCCCATGGCACAGCGGGGGGAGGACGTGACCCCCCCATATCCCAGCCGGGGGAGATGTGACCCCGAAGGCAGGCTACCCCCCCCATGTCCCAGCGGGGGCAATGTGACCTCGAAGGCAGGCGACCACCATGGCCCAGCTTGGGGGATGTGACCCCAGTATCTTGGGGGGCTGTGGTTTGCCAAGGGGACTGAACCCCACTCTGGTTGCTGTGTGTAGGGGGGCAGCGCTGGGGGGTACAGCTGCAGTGTCTGCACCAGAGGAAAGAATCACCTACTCCTGCCCCACAGGAGCCGGGGGGGTGCAGTGGGGAGGCCCTGGAGGGACGGGCAGCAGTTGGGTGGTTGCAGGGGGAACTGCGGGGGATGTGACCCTTTCACTGAGGGGTGCTGCTATCGGGGCCAGCGGCTTGTCTGTCTCTGAGCCGGGGGCCCCAGCCCCCCACAAACGCTATCCAACCCCCTGGGGGAGGGGCTCCATTCTCAGCTAGTCTCAGGCCCCACAACACTATCCGCCCCCTCAGAAATGGGGGGGGCTCCCATCCGGCCGCAGGCGCCGGGGGAAGGTGCGTTTCTGCTCCCAGCTCCGAGGGGCGGCCCCAGGTGATTCTTTCCCCGGTGACGGCTTTGATTTCATTTCCCATCTCTGTAACCCCCACTCCCCTTGGGGAGACGGGAACGTATTTATTTGCAGATGCCTTTACGTTTTGTGTGTGTACATTTTTTTTTTATGTAAGTGATCAAACATATTATTTTTTGTTTGTTTTGGGCTAAATCTGTGATATTTCTTTTTTTATTTGACTGAAAACAGGAGAAATAAAATAAAAATAATCACAGATTTCCCAAAAATGGGAGAGTCGAAATCTTCTTTTGTGTTAAATTAATTTCTTATCAATTGGTTGGGGGAAGGTGAAACCTTTACTTTCCTTCCCATGGGTTTTGGCAACTCTTGGGTAACACTGATTTCATTTGCTGCAGCTTTAGAAAATCTCATCGGTATTTTTGTTGGAGCCTTTATTTATCGCATTGGGAGGAGTGAGTTTGGAATGAGTTTTCTTCCTGTTTGAGGGCCAATTATGAATATTTTATATTTGCTCCAGTTTGTGAAATTTGGGATTATTTTTTATTTCTCTTTCTTTAGTATATTTAGTCTGATTTATCTACTCCTGTTTCTGAGGCAAATCG